ATTACTTTCATTCTTGGTCAAAATAATGTGAAATATAACAACAGCTATTTGTATGTCAGAAGGAAAAAGAGGAGAAGTAAACACTCTCTGCTGGCCTGCAGAGCCAGGGCACTGCAAGAACAGGTACTTCCCATCCTTGCCCAAGGGCAGTGTGATGCTGAGCACATCCAGCACTCTGGGTAGAACAGCTAAACCCCACAGTCTCATGCACCAGCATCTGCATTTTATCTTCACAGTTAGCTGGGTATGAGCAGGACTTTTAAGCTGCAGTTCCTGAATGGAAAGTCATTGTTAAAACATTTTCATCCTGGACCTGTGTAAGTACCTGCTTTGACACGGAAAGTTACAAAGGCTGAGAGGGTTTGCTTAAAAGCTTTGGTGTGTCTGCCTTTATCTTCATTCATAGCAAACCCACCTCGAGCTCAAGTCTCAACAGCTGGTAGATTTTTGTTCTTTCCAAAAAGTGTCAGCTTCTCCACCCGAAACAGTGTGCACAGCCTTTGCTTTGAAGACTATCCTTGGTTTTATTTTCAATAAAATCACTTTTATTGAAATCTCTCACGAGGGTACCAACTTGCCTCATCAAATGCTCTTTAGTAGTATTCTTTATGATTTTCTTCCCCTATAATTTATACTGGGGAACATAATTTAGGAGAAAAATTAATAATAGCAGCCCCTGAAGACAGTGTGGTCAAACTGAGCCAGATTTTTGCTAATGGCCCTCTCACCTGACTTCCCATTGTGCCTGATTGCCTTCCTGTCATTCATGTGTGTAGTCTCTGCTGCCTGCCCAGCTGGGAAATCTCATATCTGTGCAGAGCAGTAGAGTTGGAAGAACAACTGGTCAAATTCCCAGAGAACAAAACAGCAGCAAAACTAAGAACTGGATTTAAAATTTAACCCAGGGTTTTAAGTGTGTATTCTGCCTATAATTTGGTAAACGTGACAGTTGTTGATTACTTGAACTTCTACTAATGTTGGACTAACATGGGAAAAATTACTAAATTGTTTTCTGAGATGAAAACTGGGTAATTTGTGGGTATGTTCGTATACTCACTACCCTTGCTTTCCATGATCATACCAGGTAAAATTAGAAAGGCATAAATATTTATGCAGAATAATGCTTAGGGAGGCACAGCATGACACAGGCATTTGTATCTACACGAGTTTGGGGCATACTCATCCCATAAAAGGCTACTGCTCATGAGAAACAAGAGGAGATTTAACCTCAGTGCTTCTTCAGATCTCCATTATCCAGGTGCTTCTTCCATTCGAAACCCACAGTTATTGGGAATGATTATACAGTTGTCACAGAATTTATTAAGCATACGGAGATATTAGTCATACACATAAAATACAGTGCCCTTTATTAAAAGAGGTTAGTGAGCAACTAAGTTTTGGAGATTTTTTATTTTTTAAGAAAGGTGCAATTGAAATGGCTGGTGCTTTTAGAATTCATGGCTCAGTTGTGATGCAGTCGTTCCAGCCAGGCCATAATGTTGAATGACATTTGCGTTAGAGAAGAGCTGGTACTGCAGTAATTGTCCATCCATATAGATTTTTACTGAATAAGTTCCATTTTAGTGTCTATATATATTGACCCCAACCATTTTAATTTTAAATGTTCTATCCAGAAGATTGCAAATGCTGATGATATTTAATCTGACATTTTAAAGACAAAAGGCACCCATGCTAGGGAGAAGTGATGGGTTAGAAGAATGACACCAGAGTGACACCAATTAGTCAAGGGTTGGGAAATAAGAGCTAGTTTGTAATGTACATGTGAAGAATAACAAAGATGCTTGTTACCTTCTGAGTGACCAGGCTGACTTTATAATATAGATTATACGTCTACATTATAAAGTCTGATCTAAGGCGTAAATCAGATGTTTTTGCCAATCTGATTTTTGTTTGAATTATAGCATGTCTCTAAGAAAGAAAAACCCCATCTTTATTCTTACTAAGTTCTGAAGTCCTTAAGAAATTCAGAAATGGCTGCCAATAATATGAAATGTGAAAGATATTATTTCTACTTCTCTGTCTCCCTCTCTCCCTTCCCCTCCTCACCTTAAATATATGGAAAACACACCATGTCAGCAAGAGTCTGCAGTTCTCTCAGGGGTATCAAAGGGGAGCTACCCCATCTGAGAAGGGGGAGTGGTGAGCATGATTTGGCTGGGAAGAAAACATCCTCTGTAGCATCATCAAATGATGAAAGCCGTGGGCCCTGGATTTTACCAGCCTTTGAATCTCCTGCTTTCAACCCTTTTGATGGAAAGACTTGGTATAATTGTGAACCCACAGGCACGTCCTTTTGAACCGTGGAGGCTGCAGACGACTTTCATGCTGCACAGGGTTTGCGTGACTTAAATTCACTACCAGGAATGTCTGGGGAGAGAAGGCTTGGGACTAGAGATAAAACTGGTACAAAGACACCATCTGGATAATAACTGTGTAGGGCTTCAAACCTCCAGAGTGGGCAGTAGTTAGAAGCATCTTACAACAGACCAGAATTTTTTTAATCACTTTCACCAAGTCCCTCGTGCAGCCTTACGATTAAAAAGTAGGTTATTATCCCTTTCAAAAGCATATCAGGGTAGCAGGTTACTTAGTAGATAGAGCAGGAATGGATAGAGCAGGAAAAAGTAGACATCCATCTCAAAGCTGCTCTACAGGTCTTAATGAATGTGAATGGAGACTTTGGTGACCTGGTAGAGTTGAGTTCTGAAGGTCAGCATACAAGCTACTAGGGGATCTTTCTGTTTTAATTCATGTGGATGTTTTGTAGATCTGATGTAGTGTTGAGGTTGGAAGCTGAAATATGTAAAAACAAATGGCATACAATCTAAAACCAGGCAGCAAGTGCTGTTTTCTAGGTCCACGCAGCTGTATTAGCTCTAGACTGCCTTCCTTGCTCCTAAACCATTTCAATGTCACTGTAAAGACCAACAGAAAGGTCTGACTTGCACTGTGATAAAACTGCATTAATCAAAGTTGTGTTTCATTACTTTAAACTAAACTTGGGGATTACTAGAAATAACTATAGCATTGCATTTTGTGCTGTGGAATTCACTGCATGCATTTGAAAAACTAGTGTGCTGATTACAAATATTAGAGAAAGCAGATGTAAATGCTACTTCATGACTTCCTTCAAGCCTCGATAGTGAAAAGCCAACAGTGAGTGCAAATAAATGCAACTAAAAACATGGGAGTCATATTTATCAAAAGAGTGAAGCCTCCAAAACTGGCATCAAAGCTGTCCCTGCTCAGTGGCTGCCCAATGTCAATGATTCAGCCCTCTGAACATAAAACACAGAGCAAGGAGGATTTAACAACTGGGCGCTGAAAGTACATGACAGGCAAAGGCCAGGGTGTCCCTGACCCAGATGAAGATGCACAACCATGTGGCCTAAAGCATTCCCCTCACAGTTCTATATGTTCCATTGATTAGACTAAAAAAACTAAGGTTTGTGATCATGACTTTTAAAATGTTTCAGACTTGAAACATTTTTATTTTAAGTGGCATACTACTGCAACTCTTCATTTTTGTGATACTTCGCCCAGTGTTGTTTGGACATCATACAGTTGTTTTGTTTTCTCAAAATATTTTTCAGAGATCCAGCTCAAAACCGCAAGATGATGTTCGGGTTCTTTTTTTTTCCTCTAGCATGTGGCAGTTATGATGAATCAGAGTTTATTCTGTGTTCTGTTGATCACCATAGTAACCTGCGCTCTCTGTATTCCATGAGAAACAAAAAGTTATTTATTTGACAGGGATGGATTTCTGGGAAGCACTGGTTTATGAACACCAGCAAAATATTTTAATGGGACTTATTTGCTTCTCAGGTTGTTACATGTACCAGTAATTTGCTCTTCATCGGTCATGAAGACCTCACAAGAAGAAATCAATTGTAGTCAAAAGGTGTTATTAGGATTACAGCTATTTTCTACTCTCAGCAGTTGTTACATAAACCTGGACAGTGCCCTACTCAGTCCAGACAGTTTACATATATGCAAAGCACAGTAAAGGTGCTTCACTAGCTATTGGGCTTCTTTTGTATTCTCAGGAACAAAAAGGATTCCTAAACTGCAAAAAAAAGTTAGCAATTGATTGTTGTTACTTAATGAAATCATTGCTGTTTTGTATCAGAACAGGTCTATTCTTTTCAAGCCCAAAGGGTGAGATTGCCCATCAGTTTTTAATAGTTCCTTTGATGGTGCAAATTGATTTATTTTATGAAATTACTTACTTTCAGTGTGTTAATTGATCTTCCTGACTGGTTACTCTTAGCAGGGATCAATCCATTGATCTGCCTCATAAATGACCCCACAAAATGCAGACAATGGCACAGGGGCAGTAACTGGTGTCCAGTGTGGTGCAGAAGAAGCTGAAGAGCTCTTTCTTCCCAGTCCCTTGCTCTGTGGGACTCAGCCATCGGATCTGCCTTCTTATTGAAACTTTCCTTAAGCAAATTTTAGTCTTAGGGAAAAGCTGTAGGGAAACCAGGGTGACTGCCCGTGCAGGTTTTCCTTTATGAAGAGAGTTCCTGCACTTTCAGTACCCTGTGGAAACACACCATGTTATGACATCATCTCAGAAAGGTTTTTAAAGAAATCCATCAGAAAAAGATGTGGTCATTACATTTCCAATCTCTACCTGCAATGAATGCTTCATTATTGAACATCATTATTATATAGCTATAAACCATTTAATTTTTTCCTACCTTTACAATTTACCTAAACCGCAATTAAAACCACACATTTTTGAATCTCCAGTCCCTCATGCATTCATATATTACACCTCTATTTTCTTAAACTTTTTGTCATTCTGCAGTGAACCATAGTTTACAATATAGACAAATTTAAAGCTTGAATTTCATCAGCCCTGTAGGGATTGTTTCACCCAGAAGACTGAATTTATTTCTTCTGACTCAGGAAGAATTTTAATATGAACTCTGAGATGTTAAATGTAACAAAAAAATAATGGAAAATACAGCTAATAATTCAGAATTTTTATTTTATTGGAACCACAGTTCTAGCATTTAACACACTTATTTTACATCCTGTAGAAGCAGATGCAATCAATACCAAGCACCAAGCAGAACGTGTATATCAATTGCACAAAACCCTCTTTCATACTCATGTTATCAAGAAGGTTTTCTAAGCTCTATTCTTAGGAACACCATTTGGAGGATGTGCATGTGTGTGTGTAAAATGAACTGTTATTATGACTTCATCTGTGTGTGTGTTGGCACTGCAGGCAGTTCTGCTGAAGTAATAACTTGGTTGTATCCAGAAGGAGAAAATCGGATCACCAGACCATTATTCAGAAGGAATTGCTGAGTAAGTGCATTGTGTTTTTTTCTTTCCTGCCAAGAGATTAAATACCATACCTGGATATTATTTCATAGGTACCACACTCAGAGTACTTATGAGGCAGATAAGGGAAGACTGGTAGCACAAGCAAAAATCAGAGGCATTAGGAGTTAGGAAATGTTAACTGTGATAGATTCATTTTCTACCATAATGAGCTCACTGGGAATGCAGTGGGTTTGCTCTACAAAATAGTTAATTAAAATTTTAGCAATGCTTTTTATTTCTAAAACCTGCAGAAGACAGGGGCCTGGTTATGGTGTGCTTGATGGTTTAACTGTGGAGATTAGGTTCACATTTTTCAGTGGCTTTATAGCAAGCTAATACTGGATCAACTCCATTCTAAATGATCAAAGATACCTAAGTCTCTTTTTCAGATTTATTTAAGGCAAGTCTATATAGGCAGGGGAACAAAGAGAGAGGCTTTCCCTGGGTGCACTCTGAGGTGGCCAACACAAACCAGTTCTGAACAAGAGCAACATAACTCAGTTTAAACTACTAAGCCCAGCTGAGCTTTCCCAACAGTCAGGATCAGCCCAAATGCTTTTGCCCAAGTGTAGGATCACAAGAGTCTTGACTAACTTAGAGCACAAACAGGTAAAATTTGCATTGTCCTTGCAGCTTTATCTGCAAAACGGGACTACAAACATCTAGCTTTAGCAAAGATGTGATACATTTAAGTAATGTAATGTTGGATATATTGGATACAATAAGATCTTGGATGGGAAACTTCATAGATGCAAAGCATTAGATCATTAAAGCCCACAGTTTATGCTTTCACATCCTGATCAATGTATGCCTGTATCTTTTTCCCAGAAAATAAAATAATTATTTCTGAGGTAATGGTGAACAGGTGGTAGAGAACTTACATATATGAGTTGTACATAATTTATTCATCAAAGAATATTTCATTTCCTTTACAAATATCATCAGTAGAGAACACTGGTGACAGATACCACACACAATCCACCTTTTGTTATTTCCATAGAGCCACAACACACAGGTCACACACACCAAATAGAAAACTTTAGCTCAAGAAAATAAATACAATTGTAGAATGGATTTGCTTGCACAGATACATAGAAGTTTTCCAATAAAGCAAGAAGGCACTATTGATTCTGATATACCCACCCCCAAAAATACAGGCTTTGCAGAGTCAATACTATCTTGATTTAGGTTTTAACCCAATCCAAAAGTCTCAGACTCGGCTCCGTCCACTTATTGATTTGTCTGGCATGCTGGGTTGTTTTTTTTCCCAGAAATGCTTTTCTGCTCTCAAATTTTAGCTAGCTCTCCCAAAAGAATGTCACAAAGAGCAATTCTGTTCCTTACAACTGAGCTATTGACTGTCGTAAAAAAAAGGAAAGACAGAAGTCATGTCAGCTTAGCTTCTCACAGGACCTTACAGTGCTCCCTCATTCAAAAACACTTATGTAATCAACAAGCAATGAGTAATGAGCTGCAAAATATCAGCAGCCCTTAATTTTCTATCAGGTATGATAAAAACTTTATAAAGCTGTGCTATTCTTGAGGAATAAAAGACCTTATAACTACCACCAACACATCAGTTCTTTGATATTTTGCCACAATGCCTCCTTTTTTTTAAAATATTTTTTTCTCTTCTGCTACCTGACATCTAAATGCCTATAATTTTAGACATCAAGACCACATGCCAGAAAAAAAAATCCACAGAAAGAGAGCTGAAAGATATTATTTTTTCCATTTGTAGACAGTAGTTTCACCTGATGTGCAACTTCAACACCTTCTTCATCTTTTTAAGGGGAAGGAGGGGGGTGAGATGAAGGAGCACAAAAAGACAGGACAGCTTCTTTAATAAGCCTTAACAATTTTGCTTTTATTAAATTTGTGCAGAGAAATTGAAAACCTTTAGGTAGGGGCAAAAAAAGCCCTGATGATGAATCATAGAGGAAACCAAGAGAGGAAATAAAGCCATGCTTAGAAGAGATTAAACAAGCCATAAAGTTTTTAATAAAAGTAGGATATAGGAAATAGAAGGAGACATAAGTGGTTGATTGAGGTGCAAATGTATGTGTGGGTGGGAGGAAAGTGAAGGGTGAATTTGTCTGGGGAGTAAATCCATTTAGGTCATTATAGTTCAATATGGCCATGATCCAGAAAAAGGCTTGAGCATATGTTTGGTGTTAATATGTGAGTCACTCGCTCAACATCTGAGCTCTGCTGACTTGCTCAGGCTCAGGTTTATGTGATTTCATCAGAATTCTCTCTTGAACTATATCAGCCCACCTTAAAGCCCAGAAGCCAACAAACTGAAAGATTGAGGTGGCTTTGGATTGGGTATCTTCTTGAAGGACCCATTTCTGAACACAGAAAAGTGCACACTCTGCTTTCCATTATGGCATGAGCTTAAACACGGAAACACACACAGAGGCTGAAGTAGAAGAATGTCAGTGGCAACCAGAGGGGGTGGATCAGGGGACTGTGCAAGCCTTTAATTGCTGGAAGACTGTGCTAAAATGTTACAAGAGATGGCACATGATAATCAGATTTAGCTGGGCCAAAATTACTCTGCACTTAATACTTATTTGTGTGATTCCATCAGTGGTGCCTGTGCTCACAGGCTGCAGGGTCACAGTGGAGAAGGACCAGCCCAGGACCACCAGTTGTGCCACAAACATGCCCAAGGACAGGGCAGAGCACAAGTGGGGGTCTCCAAAGTGCCTCTGTGAACATTCTTTTTGTTGCAGTCATTAACTGCTGATAACAAGAAATGGATTTTTTGATGGTTCTTTCTACCCCGAGTTTTGATGGGATTTCTGGCCAGGGCAGAGAAATTATTCTAGAAGAAATCTGATTAAGTCCATTGTTCTGAACCACTAATGTGGGCTCATTACCTTGTGAAAAGACCACAAGTTTAAATCTCACATATTTTCCCCCCATCTTCTCATCTCTAGCAGTCAATTCTTCCTCTCTAAGTTCCAATCTTACATTTTCTAAGGTAGAAAAAAATACCATACTGCCTTTTCAGAAATGAACAAAGTAGAAAAGATTAGATACACCCAATACATGTCAGAGTCAGTAGGTACCATATTTATTTTTCTTAACTTTGTTTCCTGAGAAATGGGAATAGAAAAATCACAGCTTTCATTGAACAATAAAGTTAATTTCTAGTTCTCAAGGTTTCACAGAAAGGCATTAAAACATAAGTCTTGCAATGTCACCACAAATATCACTTTGACTTCTTGAATTTTCCTCACTTTTGAGCTGGCTCTCTGAGGATGCAACTATTCACTTATACAAGCAAGTTGCAGTATAGAAGGACCTGTTTATCTAATATGTCACTGAGTCCTTTTTCTCCTAGGAAGTTGTGATGATGCACAAGAGCAAACTATACTAATAAAAGAGGTATTTTTTAAATTGCTGTGTCTTATTAATAAGCTAATAGCTAAAAAGTTTCTTTGAAAAAATTCAGAAGTTGAAATTAAAAACTGTGTCTCTTTCAGCATTTTTATGTTTCATTTATTGGCACACTCTCAATCAGCAAGATGAGGTGGTTGATAATTATTCAGGGTTGCCAATTAACCTACTTAGCAGGTCACACAGGTAACTGGCATAGATTGTGTCAAATCTCATTATTGGGATAATAATTTAATCAGCCAGTGCATTGACTGAAGGCCAGAGAATCTGGAGAATAAATTAAACAGGAAAATAAAATCAGTACCTAGACAGACATTATATTTAATACATGAAAACAGTTTATCCCACAAGCATACCACTCACTAGTATAAAGCATACCACTCACTAGTAGAAACCCAGTAAAGTCTGGGGTGGGGGTTTTCAATCACAGTAGCCAGCATGAGTACAAAAAAATGTTAAATGTTGCCTTGCTTCTATGGATATGATAGTTTAACAAATGAAGAAGCTGTGAGCATGAGTGTTATTCTTTAGCATTTAAAGAGACAAGCAATGCAATTGCCTTTAGTGCAGCATTACAGACCAGACCTTCCCTGGCACATCTGCTCTGTGATCTATGTGGAACAATCCTGGCCTCTCCTTTCCCATATATCCCAGCCTTTTTCAGTTCTTTGTGCCTGGCAATGACAAAGGAATGTCAAGTAAGAAAGTCATGTAATAGATAAAATGATATTGCTGGATCTCTCAAGGACAGGAGAGAAGAAAAATTACAATAAGTGCAATTTTCAGTCACAGAGTCGGTGAGAAAGCTGCACTTTCTCTACACAATAATACTCTGCATTTACAAGGTGACTGAGTAAATAGGAGATAGGAAGTGTAGAGTCTGTCTGGAAGTAGAAAAACATTTTGTGGGCAGATTGGAGAAAGACCTACTGGAAGGAACAATAACATGTATAAAAAAGGGTTTGATACATATAGGTTACATGTGAGTTTAAAGCAGATACATACTTGTATCTTCTTCAAAGACATGTACAAACTTGACTAGTAATTATCAGTTTTAATATTCAAAACATAGACTGAAGAAAAAATACCACTACTAGTTAGTCCTGAATGTGTGAGGTGTAAGGAGCTCCACAGAACTGACAAAAGTACACGCAAGACTCCAGAAAAGATGACAATGTGGTGATCCTGCCCTTGTGTTCATGGTCTATTCAGTGGTTTACTGTCTACAAGAACAAGAGGGCTATAAAAGAAGCCATCACTCCTCTGAGCAGTGGATCATTCAGTTTAAACATATCTCATAGATGTTATAGCCAAGAATTACAGCACATTGTGAGCTGCTCCAGGACTTGCAATTTATTTGCTCGGTAGGGGAAAAAAAGTGACTTTGATCTCAGCTCATGATAGGCCTGTAAAATGAAAAACAGCCAGCATGCAAAAATAGCCAGTGTGCCAGGAGTGAATGCTGATCTCCTAACTACATTTGTTTTGGTTTGTTTTTTTAATATAACAATGAGCAAAACCACATGCTTAAGTTACTAGGTGTGACCTAGACCCCTCACTTATGTTGTCAAATATATTATTTTGAATCATAAAGCATCTTGCCCTTGGAGCAGTGTATATTATAGCAGAAAAACTGAGCATATCTATCCCAGTTCTGGAATTACAGAAACAACATGCAGCTCTGAAGTGTCTATTTAACTAATCAATAACTTCCTAGAATTTTTTTTTTTTTTGAAGACTAAAGTAGGATAGCACCATCCATGGATGCTACCCACTAGTTCAGGAGTGTCAGATAACAGAACCTGCCTGCAGGGGAAAAATCACTTTCATGTAATTAGTAGAAAATTTAACATTGATGAGTTAAACTTCCTCATTAAAACTTCCCTTGATAAAAAAGCAACAAGCCTAAAGATAAGAGCTTTACTTATTTATTTATTTTAACATAAAGCAAGAGCTCAAAAGTACTGGATAAATTCAGTGTAAGGGCCTCTCAGGATATGTCAGCAGTTACAAAAGGCCCACAGCTCCCAGTCTGCTTTTCTGATTCTTGTGAATATTTCCAGTGTTCTCAGCTCACTACCATTTTTTATATATTAGGTACTAAAGTTATGAATGGCTAATCAAATTACATGAGCCAAGATCACAGTAAAGAGTGACGGTAGATTAAGAAACTCCATTAGAATACTGAATATTACACCACCTAGCTATCTAGAAAAATCAGATTTTAGAAATGCTTTGATAAGGCAAAACATTATTGACTCAACTCCATGATGGTCCAGAGAGCCAGCATTTCAGAGGTTAGCTTAGGACAGTAATATAGCCTAGGCAGCACGATTCCATAGTGTGAAGGCAGGATATATTCTAAGCAGGGTTTCAAGTCCAGATGGAGATAAGCCCAAGAGCACATAACAATATGGATCCACAAGTGCACACTCTGCTGTAGCTGTGAGGGACTTGCAGAGACTGAACATACACAAACTGCATCTTCTTCAAAGATAGACTGTTCTGCATGAGAGGTTCCCTGAGTGATCTCTGGGAAAAGGATCAATGAGAAACTTTTGGCTTCCCTTGCATTTATTATATTTTCCACTAAAAAAAAAAAAGTTTTCTATTGTTCTCTTATTTATAATTCACAGTCTGTAATTTTCATGAAAGTAATCCCATTATACTGTTGTCTTAGTACCATTTTACCACTTTTTGTTTTAAAAGAATGTTTTCCAACTACACCATTATTACTTCAATTGACAACAATCACACGTGTATTTGCTAACTACAAATATCATGAGAAGAATTACTGGCTGATATTAAAGAAACATAATACAGTGTGATAGCATTTTGGACAGATCCAGACAGGCTAAAATGTTACTCAACACCTCCTCCCAGTAGTGTGCAGGCTTGAATACTCCTGGTCAGCGCTAACCTTTCTCATTCCTCTCCTTGCCAGACTAACCCTGACTCAGTGCCCATTCACCTACAGAGGTGATGTTAATTTGCTGACACACTTGCAACAAACTGAACCACACACCCCTCAGAAAGTTCGGGTAGGGAACAGCTTCTTCTCCTTCTGGTGAAAATGCTGACTGCTCACAGCTGCTGATTTCCACTGAGAAGAAAACAGCAAGCAGGCTTTAATCAGAAGAGGGGGAGACAAGGGAAAAGACAGGCTCTGAGCCTCCCAGGGTTAGAGCAACTCCTCCCCAAGGCAGGCACTGCGATGCTTCCCGGGGTCTGCCCCTGCCACCCCCCAAAATAGAGCTAAACCTGCTGCAGTGTGGCTGCTTTGCCCTGTTCCCCCTCCCTTCCCTCACTTCACTCCCTCTTCACACAGTGCTGTCTCAGGGGGCAGATCAGCTACAACCTACTGGCACCCTTATCTGAGCATCTACCCAGATGCCAGGGCTGGCAGAGCAAAGGGCAGACTGTTTTTTTTTTTAATCTCATCACAATTGCCTGTTTCTCTGGACAGCAAAAATGGTATTAAATCACTGCAAGCTGTGAAGAGCCTGGACCACTCTATCCCACTCCCTAGGCAAGCATTTTATCTCAGGTTGTATTTTTTACAGATAGATACTATATATTAGACTTAACACAGAGCACAGTAATCCCTCTTCAAGCCCTGGTGAGAAGAGCAGTGTTGGAAACTTGGTCTAGGACGCAAATTAGTCCCATATAACTTTCCATGCTGAAGGTGTCACTGGCTGCCTGCGTCTGTGCTGGGCTGTGCTGGCTCAGGAAGCGACAAGTCTTTTGGTCCAGGGCTGCAGAACATGGCTGATTTTTTGTTTGCCTCTCTGGCTTTCCCACTGCTCACAGAAGAAAGATTTTATCCCTCAGTAAATGCACAGTTGAACTAATACATTGTCAGGGATTCACTGCAAAAGGACAGTTTACTTCTCAAGATAATGCTAAAGATTCACAAGTGTAAAAGCCTGAAAGAAAATGTAGAACATTTTAAACATAATGCAGTGAATAACCACCAACTTTCCATAATAATCATCATTCAGTGAACTTATTAATAGAATAAAAGCAATATTGAAGCAAATACATGACCTCTGACACAAAAAATGGGTTGCATTTCATATTACTTTACTTAACTGCCCCTTCCTTCTCCCACCAAACAGAAGCTTTATTGACAAAATGTGCTCTGGCAATTTAGTCTGTAGACTTAAAGAATGTGCAGCTCTGGGAAAAACTGAATTATGGGTTCTATTTGCGAGATGAAGAATGGCATGTAATAACTTAATGAACTGGAAGTTTATTAGTTGTAAAAGAGAGAATTAATGGAATGCGTTGTCTATCAATCTTTTTTTTTTAACTCAGAAATATTCAGGTGGGTAAGCGCCACATCCATTATGCATTTATTATCTTACTAATACCAGTGTGTGCTAGAATCTCAGCAAGCTACAAAAATATGTCTCAGCTTCTAATTTAATGTGGATTTTATCAGTCAGTTTTAGAGGCTCTCTTCTAAACCCAGCTCTTTAAAATATCTACTCAGATATTTGGCCGGCAAAAAATTCACTTGAACACAAGAGGTACCTGCTCCCATCATCCAAAGGTGCAGCCTCTGCTCCCTGTCCAGACTGCATTCATCAAAACTGGGCAGTGAAAGGAATTCACACACAGTCACAGTGACAGCTGCATTTCAATAGCTATTTATTGCTCTAGAGACACATCAGTACAAAAGGACAGTGAGATAACAATTTTAACAAGAAACATGTAGAGAAACCAGTCTAATATAAAATGGAAGAATCAAATCCTTGGCTATTAAAGAAATCTTCTCCACTTTGTAAAGTACAGGGATTCGCTTCAGCTGCACTTTCACATGGACTTATTTATTTATTTTGTACAATTTAATGATTTACCTCAAAATAGTTTGGACCATGATACTTATGGGTGAATATGCGCAATGATGACAATAATAAAGTCATTTAAAATCTATTACAATGCTTCTCCCAGTCTCTGCTGGTATTGTGTCTTAAAAACACAAGGTAACAAATAGAATTTAGCCCTAAATAAATACATAAAACATATGTGCAAGAAACAAAAAATGACTGAGAGTAGCAAATTCAAAGTTCAAGTCAATGTATATGAAGGTATATGTAGAACAAAGCAGTCAGGTTCTAATCTATTACCCCCAATATTTCATGTGCTGCATAGATCCTCAGTTAATTACAACTTTGACCCTGCAAAGGATCAATCTGTTTGCTTTGATTTTCTTTTCCAGAAATAAAAATAAGCAAGGAAAGAAAATCTGCATTAATTTATCCCTCTAATAGGGTCCTATGGGTGGCTTTTTTTGGTTTACTGTTTTTATTTTTCACATGGGCAGTCTAGCAGCAGAAATGTTACATACATTAGGCTGTTTAGAAGAACAGTCATAGCCATTCCACTTAGCCAGGTATTAGCATACTATTGACATATTAGACCAATTTAATGCATTTTTTTTCCTCAACCATTTACGTTTCATCTCAGAGGTCCAATAAAATGGGATTTTGAACTATCTGTGCTGAGCACAATCAAAGGGCCAGTAATCCAATAATTTGATTTTCTTGCTGAAGAGAACAGAAGAGAGGGAAAGCCATCTTTCCCTTGCTCCAGCAAGTGAGCTACAGGCCTGCAATAGGCTTTAAGCTTCCTGTGTAAAACATACCCTAAGGGCAACAGAAGGCCACTTAAATACAGCTTGGAGGGCATAAGTGGAACATGGCTGTGGCATGTTGGCTTTCTGCCCAGGACTAAATTCCAACCATTAGCATCAAACTCTCATCCTGAAGCTCTCAAACTGAAATTAAATGCCATCTATCAAATGAATAAACAATAATAAATTAAAGTAGCAGAAGTAAATTAAAAAAAATAAATTGCAGTATTTTTTACTGTGGATCATCTCTTCTGGATTGCTGTTCTGGACTGCACCCCTCAGATTATCTTTCAGCCTATTTTTTCACTACTGGATTTTTGCACACGCAAAAAAGCCCTTGAAACACAAATTGAATTTATTCATGGCCTATGTTACTTGTTACTGAAAATATAGTTTTAAATAGTGCTTGCTTTTCCCGTGCAAATAATTTTGTTTACTTCTGCTAGTCATTGGTTGAGTCTAAATGACTTGTATCTAAACAAGAATACAGACAACAACAATTAAGCATGCAAAAATGTACCTTTAGATGCCTCAGGTGGAGCTGCACATTTTGGTTTAGGCTGTCAAGGAAAATTTCAGCAGGCTTCAGAATTTGGAGAGCTGTGAATTTAAAATGAATTAGTCCTTTAAAAGTGCTCAAAGGAAAAGCAAGCTGTATTCTGGGATAGATTCTAAAATGGGGATTTTTAGTAAGCAGAATTTAATTACCTAACAAATTTTGCCACAAAGTCCTGGCTAAACCTTCAATTTTTGTGAAGAAGAAAAAAAAACCCCAACAACCAATTCAGGGAAACTATTATGCTTTATCTGAATCACAGCTATTATAGCAATAAATTCAGCCTTGTGCTGCAATGGGACAGTATGAAAAAGGAGAGCAAAGGGAAATATCTCACTTAATATTAGTCTCATTTCCCAAAACAAGTTGACTCTTCCCAGGAACTTCTCCCCAAAACTTCCTCAGGGTATGAAATAATTGGCTATTAACCAGTGTGTTCTTGACCCAAAGAATGGAGCAGAAAACATGTAAGACTTGTCTGGATTACAAGGAGAAATAAAAGAGGAAAGTAGAGTAAATACATACTGACTGAGCCCATGGTTCTCTGCATTTTGCTAGTTGGAACTCAGAGGGTTTTACCTGCATTTGTACCAGGGGAAAAGACCTGAGAAAAAGAGCAGGCAGAAAAGGGGGAAGGGAAAACAGAATGGCACCACCTTTTTTTCCTTTTCAGATTTATTTTTGCCCTGCCTGCTTGCCCTGCAATCAGCGTGGGGCTGTGAAAAAGAAAGACTGCCACATCCACAGCATCGTATTGCCAGCATAGAGGGCATCTTGTCTCAACCCAGGGCAAAAGAGAAGTTACAGAAAAAGTGTCTGCAAACTAAGGAAAAAAAAAAAAAAAGACAAACTCTTACTTATCACAAATCCTGTGAAAAGTCTTCTCAACAAGTGATAGTTTCTTTTTTATCCTCTCGTAAATGTGATCACCTGTGACCTCCCAAAACCCCGAGGGCTGCCCCAGCACCCCGAGCAGCCACGGGAGGAATGGCTGAGGATGTCGGCACACAGAGGCAGTTCCCATGCCCTGCAACGGTGAAAACAAGTTGTTAGTATGCAGCAGGCAGTGCTGAGGGCTGAGCCTGCTGCTAATGAGCGCTGTGCAGAGGGCTCAGGTCACAGTTTTGCTAAATTCTGTGCACTTGGTACACCTGTGAAACGCCACACCAACAGGCAGCTGGGCTCACACAAGTGCAGGGCAGCCTAACCAGGGTGCTGGGGCAGGTGTGTGAGCCACTGGTGAGATGTCTGCCCCTCGATGTCGAGTGGTTCATTGGAGCTGGAAAGTGCTGTGCAAGTAAAGAAATCCTTCTGGGGCTGGTTGACCTCCCCTGCACCTGCCTGCTGCTGGAACAGGGTGCAAAGTCTAAATGCTGACTCACAGTGGTTCATAATGGTCCCCAGTGTCTGTACACTACAGGGGACAAACAGAAGGCAGCAAAGGTGCTGGGATGGGCTATGATCTTGCTGGCACCACAGACACGTGATGCACTAGCTTGGTAGGATCAGGAGGGGGGTGGTCAGCTGCCATGGAGGGCTGCTATGGATGGATCCAGCTCTTCAGGGAGGACAGGCCAGGACATCAAGGAGGGAGAGCTGCCCTTTATGTGAGAGAGCAACTGGGACACCTGGAGCTGTCTGTGCCTTGGGACAGGTGACAAGACAGTTGGCAGCATATGGGTCAGGACCAGAGGGCAGCCCATGCTGGGTGACATTATGGTGGGTGTCTGCTACAGGCCATCTGATAAGGAAGAAGTAGATGAGGCAAATTACTGGAAGCAGTCTCATGCTCAAAGGCCATCAAGGATCAGAGCACTGAAGGAACACTGAGTGCTGCTAATGAAGTAGCAGAACACACACACACCTCAATACACTCCATCTGCCTTAAACAGTGCTTTTCATCCTCTGCATTAGCATTCTGCTGGTCAGAGGATGGTGAGTTCTACCTGTACAGCACAGACCTCCTCAGCAGTCCCCATGTTTCCTCGCTGTCTTACACCCCACCAGAATGTTCTGCAGCAGAAAGAAAGGTTCTGTCCTCTCCAGCCTTACCCTGCTGATCGCTGTTTGATGCCCTGGAAGCGTAACACATGTAAACACGATGTGCTGGCTGCAAATTTTGAGAACACATCTCCTTCCACTTGGGCAAAAAGGAGGTTGTTTGTGCAGGAAGTGTGTGTATGTACACCTGCTTTAAAAAAAGCTCCCCCACATTTCCAGGTTAGATTTCACTCTATTTCAAAAGCCTTCACCTGCCATATATCCCAAAGTGTCTGAATAGAATGAAAGGCGATTGGAAAAACTTTACAGATTTCAGTAAAATGAAAAATTACTGTAACAGGTGTTCCAGCAGTTTACATAATGCCTGAGTTCTCACCTTTATTGAGGCCCTTCAAGATAGAGGTAAGGGGTACTCAGCTGTAAGACAATAAATTTTCATTGGTGATGAAAGACAAGGCTGAAGCTTAATGGGAAAGAATAGTATCCCCAACACAGTGCTTCCTCATTCTTACATCTGTGTGGCAGGAATTTCTCTGCCTTTGTTGCAGTCGGAGTCCCCTATATCACAGACTTATGGCAGTGGGAGCCAGTTTTGCCTCAGTTTTACATACTCATATAGTGGTAGAAAGATCAGACAGCAAACAGAAAGTCCTGTGGTATATTCTAGAAATGTGGGACCATTTCTAGAGAATCTGAGGGATGAATTTTAATATATTTTAATATTGGGAGGAGTCTATAACTTCAAACACAAATTAGGAACCTTAATATTCTTTAAACTCCATGGTAAACTCTTCAGATTCAGTGAGTGCCTCGGGATCTTGCCTCACTACATTCTTATGCACACCTCCATGATATCAGTGCTTTGCTTATTGCACATTTCAGTAACTTTAAATACATGATGAATTCTCTCATGCTGCAAATTTATCTTCATTGAGCTATCTTTTGATCTTGGGCATTAACTCTGATCAGTACTAAGGCAGAGACAGTCTATCCAATTAGCAGGTGACAGCCTCAGAAGCTCAGGACAGAGCACCTCTGTTGCACTGCCTTCCAGGAGGTTTGACCTCAACAAGCATTACATGAACCTGGCCATGGTATTTGTCTGCCTACCTCAGCTCCTCTGCTCAGACAGCACTTTGCCTGTGAGCAAAGTAATATACTACTTTCAGGAGGTGCCAAAAAAGGATGGCTTTGGGTCCCTAACTTGCTAAGCTCTGTTAATACAGCTTTGTTCTGACACTAAGCAATTACATAAAGCATCTTGACTTGCTCTGTATAAAAGCAACTCATCATCAGATGCTCCCTTGTATGGAATCCAAACAACTTGTTTTCTAACGTCAGCAAAACCAAGTCTATCTTTCAAAGGAGATTGGTTTTGTGCTCTCTGTAGGCTGTTTAGAGACTGATGGCATCAAGGAATCTCTGTTTCACACAACAGTTACAATTGAGGCAGTGACCATCTTGTTCTGTGTTTTCCATTATCCAGAGCAAGGGGCTTCTGAGCCGTAGTCAAGGTTCCTTGGCACTGCACAGATACCAGCAGTAGTACTGGGTTCAGTGTCAAATAAGCCTGGACTTTGTTTTGCCAGCAGTTTCAAAGCCACAGGGGGAATCCATGACACAGCTTCCATTAGACAACACTAGTTAATTGTGAACCCCTTCACCTCCCTGCTTTGTACCTCCAGTTAATCTGTTTGTATCTGCATATGTCAACTGATGCCTGTTTGATTTTACATTGCAAAACCCCAAAGCCATGAAAGCAAGAATGCCAAGACTTGAGAATGTGCTGTAAGCCGGATGAAATCAGTCACTTTCCAGATGTTCCTGGATGCCTGAGGATGTGTGAAATGGGGCTGTGTTGAAGAACTCTTCCATGACAGCAGGTGTGAAATGCCTAAGTGTGAATGAAACACAGCCAGAATGGAAAAGTAAAACTCCAAGATCTAGTAATGGTCCCAATAATTTCTGAAGCTAAGCCTGACTAACTGTGTGACTGTATTCCTTCAGCACCTCAAGCAGGTCATTAGCCCTGAAACCGATGTGTGATCATGTAAACAGAGCACTAGAACACCAAGAGAAACACAGGGACAGGTGTTCTTACAGTGGCTCCTGCTTGCTTGCGTTTGCCCAGTTGAGAATCACCACACTGGCTTCAGGGGTCTGCAACAGGAGAGTGCATGGGTCTTAATCATAGCAGAAGACTGGCTCACACTGCCTCTAGGGACAGAGGGGCAGAGCTACAGAAGTGTTGGTATCTCTTGCTTTTCAGTAACCAATATACGGAAAAGAGAGAACAAGCTGGGGCTGCCCTTCTGCCATAAGCTGCAGAGAGCCTCAATCCACTCCAAGAAACAAAGCAAACTGCAGCATGCACTTGTTCATAAACACCAGGAGATATCACCTCACCTCAGCATCACACCAGGACAATTAGTTTCAGCACTGTTTTACATGGTCGTGGCTTCCAGTTCCAACATTTGATTACTTCTGATCACCCCAGGATCCCCAAAACATGCTCTAAAAATTCAGTTTACCCCATTTTTCTTTTGCATTCCCACAGCAGTCCCTCCTCCGTGCTTCTTTCACTTTGAATACTTTTTTTTATTTGTAACATGACTGATTGGAAGTCTATCTTGTCAGTCTCTGTCCAGTCTTGCTTTTTCCAGGTCTTTTACATTCAGTACAACAGATCTAAAACCTAGAGCTGAGATCACAAGAACAGAAAAAAAGGATCAAGAAGAAAATCCTCCAATCCATCGAGAACATCACTCTTTCATGACTGAAGTCCGTTCTACAGCAACAGTAAAGTCACAGAAAAATGCTTTAATCTAACATGGAGCAAGGAACACCATCAGAATGAGAAAAACCATATTATCACTGCTGAAATTACAGTGCCTTTCTTGAACTTGCTCAAACCACCACCTGCCTGGATTATTGCTAAAGGTTAAGGGAGCTTTCTGAAGGGATATGGGGGAAAGGGCTGGAGGTGAATGTAACACAAGGAAACCTGGAATGGGGAGGAGGACTAAAAATACAACTTTACTCCTCTGCAAAATCAGTTCAACTAAAATTGAGTAAAAGAACAAGATGATGTCTCCCTCCTACAACACATTCCATTCTTCATGTATATTGACACCGAAGGGTAAGCATGATAAATAGCTCTATTTTCAGCCACACAAAGAAGAAAGTTATAAGACTGACTCCAACCAACAGTTTTCTCCTACCTCAAACCTTTCATGGTCTTCCACAAGGAGACTGTCTTTGCTGGAACTCTTAGGTTTTGAGAGCCTTCTTTAGGGGCACAGAAGTGATTTTTCTGCTGGTACACGAGCAGGTCACTTAAATATTGTTACTATAACAATACAAGAAGCATGTTTTCATGCAGCCAAAGACAATCTTCCAGAGAGAGTTGAAAAGGAGAATATTTACCTTTCTGAATCAATAGTAGGGTCAACAGCAGCTGCGTAACAGGAACCTGAAAAAAAGAACTGGTTGCTGAAACTTCCACCCCCACCAAAGAGTTTTTGAATGGTCATGTCCTAAACTATTCCTTCCTTCATTTTCCAAAGATAATGTAGCCAACTGAAAAAAAAAAATAAATTCCATTTAGTGCCTAAGTCTGAATAATGTTAGCACTCAGTTAAACAAAAATAAAGATTAGCTCATATTAATATAGAGTAAGTTCTGATGCCTAAATTTTAACACAATGTGCCAGCACTATGCTTATTTTTGTTTAAAATGAGAATTAGAATCTGTCTATCAAAAAGGTTTTTAATAAACTCAAAAGTACATGATATTTTTCCTATAAAGAGAAAAGTGGTCATCACCAACAGAGATGAAAGTAATTAAAAAGATTCTTAAAAATAGGGGAAAAAAATACAGAAAACAAATTCAGTTAATTCTTCTTTTCAGGATCTAATTAACCTTCAAAACTGAGTCTCCAGCCTTTCCCATGTGTTTCAATGCAACGGAGATTGTCCCTTGCTACAAACTGTAGGTCTGATTTAATGGAGTTTTGGTTGAGGATAAAGACAGAAAAGTCAGTCTGTGGTACCCTCTCTTCAGACTGAAAAGTGTCCAATTCCAAAGGCGAATGCACTCAGCTCAGTCATCCCAATTAAAGTGTCAGCTGCTATTCAGCATAAGCAAAGATAGCACAAAGAATTCAAAAGAATCGGCCATTGCAGCATATTTACAAAGGCAGCACAGCAATTGATATTGGTCAGGGACAGCAAAGGAAAACACATGTTATTTAAACAAACAGATGTCCATACTTACATGTATATATTTACCCATACAGAGCTCACACACACGCATATATATTACAAAACAAAATTTTTAAAAAAAAAGAGTAAAAACCCTTTGCTCTCTCTAGGTCATCCTCTTGAATCCTTGCATGAAAGTAAGTGGAGCTACAGCTGAGGCTGTAATATCTGGATGTTGCAATGGGATCTTCTTGCTGCAACTAAAAAGTGCTAAAAATAAATAAATTTTCAATGATGTTTTTTTTTTCACAAGTGTCTACAACAACTCATCTAGTATGCACAGCACACTTAAACCCTGGTCTTACACTGATGTCAGCCTGCCCAAATCCCTCATGGCTCTGGAGGAATTCCTGTGCTAGATGAGGATCCATCCTGATGCCGACCGGGTCATACCCTGCAGTGGTGCCTGGCACAGATCTGCTGACATCTCTGGAGGTTCTGCATCAGTGCTCATGGCACTCTGCTACATTCAGGTCAAATCACCTGAAATGCTCCAGCTTCCCTGTTTCCCAAATGCCTACCAGTTACTATATTTTTTTATCAGAAAGACTGGAAGTGACAGAGAGAGTTCCCTGCCAAAGGTTATCTCCAAGCTCATCATGTGTGTCCTTCTGCTGCCACATCCAATAAATCGTTGACACCGTCTGTTCCAGGCAGGCTTCCCTGGGACTGGTTTCGTGGGGCCAGCATGAATTTCTGCAGGCTCCTGCAATAGGGAGGACAAGCTGGGCTGGCACCACAGCTCTGTGTGGACACGGCCAGCCTTCAAATGCTTGTGAAATGATCTTCCAAAGTTCAGCTTTCAGCTGCTACTGTTGTTTCCAAGAACAAAAGAGACACAGGCAACTGGGCTCCGCTCAGCAAGAACAAAGCTCACCCAGAGCATTGGGCATCTCCCCAAAGTCCTCTCTACTGGCTTGAAACGTCCCAGAGAAAGGCCAGGGGTGTACTGCTCCTCTCAGACTCCTAGAAGAGCACCTATATTGGTGCTGGGACCACTGAAGGGACCACCCCAGGGGATTTGGGTTAGGTGGATGTTCTGGTTCACACAGAAGGAGCTTCAGCCACTTCTGATGACCCCACAGGGATCAAAATTACAGGGGAGGCTGCTGTGTAGTGAGGTGGTAATTTCTGGCTCCTCTTATTTGAGAGCAAATTCACTTCCAAAAGTTTAACACAAGGCATTCATAAAGTCCTTCTTAAGCCCTTGAAGATCCACCTCAATTTCCTGTGCAATAGCTGGTGTGGGTTTACAATAAATAGGAATAAAATGCTACACGGCCCATGCTCTTGTAACTGGCACAGTGATGGACTGTGCATCCTTTTAAATATTTGTGAAGTCAGATGACCCAGGCAAGCAGCAACAGGATGACACCCCAGAGCATAATTATTTTATAGCTTCTATTTATTTTTTGGAATATCAAAATTTATGACAATCACTAAAGCAGATTGATTAAACCCCAAGCATATACACACCATGATAGAGAAATTGTTTTGCTGTCATTCTTAGGAATCATCTATTTGAAAAGTACATGGCAATATCAAAGAGCTCTCTATTGATTAAACTTTGAAAATAAAATTGCGCCACTTATCATATGCTGTTTGCAAAAATGCCAATCATTATAATACTCACATAAGCATATACTGCATCTTCCCCCTGAACTCGTTAAATTTATTACTGAAACTCTATCCTGAGCTGCCTACATATGGAAAAAATATCATTCAGATAACACATTAACATTTATAACCAGTATTTAAAGCTGTGCACGGTGCCATCGCAAATGATGAGGGTCTTGTCAGCATTTCCAGTATAAGACATATTTCAGGGAATAGAGGGAGGGAGGGAGTGGCAACAACTATTTTAAATTACATCAACAAGAAGCCTGACATCCAAGTTGTCAATCTAATTGTACCTATCTTTCAGAGATAGGTGCATCTTCCATGTCCACGTTCACTTTAAAGAATTCTCAATACATCATTGTAAACTACCTGGCAAGGGCTGTCATTCTGCTTGTGCATACAGCATCCCACACAATTATAATTCTAGATCTAAACCTTCATATTACAAAGGCTCTCAAGGTATGGAACAAAAATTATACGACCCCCTTCTCACAGCTATGCTTGCACTCTACAGAAGAAGGAAAGAGATAAGCAAAACAGCTAACAATACAACAATGAGGCTGGTCCATGACTCATGTTATCAGATGTTCCTGCAGTGTCAAAATACCAATAATACTGAGTACAAATTTTAATATCAGAAAGGGTAAAAAATAACAACTAAAAATCTGGTTTTGCAGGGAGAAATTTGTAGGTGCAATGCACCTGCCTCAAGCCCAGTTCTTCTACAGGTACAGAGTAAGCTGTGGTTTGCAAAATGAGACCTGTGTAGCTGTTGATGTCAAAGTATTCTGCTAAAAGACAATATATTTAAGATATTTGTATCATTAAAAATATAATTATCAAAAGTAAAAAAGTAGTTGTCATAAGGCAAGAAAGGCTTCAGAAAGATACAACATCTCTAAAAAGGAAAGTACTGAAATACTTATATGTGACATGATCTGGACCATCGGTCAGTTCATAAGTAAATAGCCATAAAGGAATGATCTCCTCCCTATTTAATTCCAAGTGCATCAGTAGCACCAGCTAGAAATAATAAAACCAAACACTTCTATCTGCAAAAGGAACAATATTTCTAGTCAGAAATCTCAAATGCTAACCAGTGCAGTGGTTGCAAAGCAAAAACACAGGAGCAAATGTGTGTTCAAATGGGTTTTCCAGGTTCCAAGCCAGAGCTGATTACCAAGGCTGACTGAGCTGTCCTCTTCTCCTCCCAGCTTTACTTGCTGCTCAGTCACAAAGTGGACATAAAAATCTCCTGCTGTGCAAAGGCTTTTATTGCTTTACAGGAAGCAGACTGATAGAGGGTAAAAGAAGAGGCCATGTAAAGGACGGGCAGTTATTCAAAAATTATATGCTTTGGAATGGAAAGAAATGCCACAAGTGTTATGGAATGCATTAAGACACTTCATATTGAGGCCAAATATTCATGCCCTCTTGCCATAGCTGTTCCACCTCACATGGAATCTCATGGACTAGAAAGACACCACACAAGGAACAAGATCCCTCTGTGTAACAGTCAGGCACACACTTATCCTCTGAGTACTCACCAGGTTCAGGTGTTCCCTGGCCTACCCTGGCATATAGGCTAGAAGGGAGATAACTAAATATCTTCAGCATCCTAGACCACAATGACAACAATATAAAGCAGAAGTCATACTAGATGCTCAGGATCTGTGTGTGTTTCTGTGTAACTCCCTGGAGTAGAAGTCAGCTGGAATCCTGGCCCCATGAAGTCAAAGGGAGATTAGTCAGTGGCTGAAGTCTAGGTCAGGATTTTATGTATGTTTGTATTGTGCTTTGTGCAATAACAACTCAGGGAGCTACTTGAGATGCCAAATAAATTCTAAGGTTTCTGTGGAGTTTGAAATACTTTATTCTAGGTGATTCTCCCCAACATATTAATGCAAGCACCATTCTCATAAGTTCTAATTGTCTCATCAATTTCTTTTCATGCCACTTGGAGTCGTACATCACGCTTCAAAGTCAGCATCTGTACTACCAACCTCCACAAAGAGAAATATTATAGGGTATTTTTCAGGTAAATGATTACTGCTCAGAGACAGCAAAGTTTCTGGCTAGAGTGATGTGGAAAAGACTGCAGGAGAGCAGGAAATATTTTTCTTTAGTCAAAAAATGAAGTCTTTAATTGTCAGAGACTTGACTTTTCTATTCTTGGAAAAACAAAACAGAAACTATTTCTTCCTAAAAGCTAATCACTGTGGGGGTTTTTGTGGTTTTTTTTGGGTTTTTTTGGTTTTTTTCCCTGATTTATTATACCCCCATTTCAGAGGTAAGCTGGTTGCTTTTTCAGTGTAATCTCTTCTTTCCTATTGACTCAAGGTGGCTTCTTGGCCTGCACTGTGCTGAGTGAGTAGCCATAAACTGGCTTCACCTCTGACACCAGAAATCACCATCTTGGGCCCACAAGTTCTTTTGCACCTACATGACTTTACAGGGTGAAGTTATCACACTGAGCCTATGCAGAAACCTTGGAACAGCCCTGCAAACAATGTTATCTGATCTGAAGTGAAAACATTTTCAGTGGGCTCCTCCAATCCATTATTACTCAGTATTGCAGGAGCAACTCGTCCCCCTCCCTGCTCCTGGCAGTCACTTGGGTGAGCAGTCAAACCACAGATTTTCAGTTTTGAGCCAAACTCTGATGTGGATTTTTCTGAGAGACAGCAGTGGGTAAGTGTGATGGGTGGACTTTGGCTGGATGTCAGGTACCCACCAAGCTGCTCTACCACTGCCCCCCTCAGCAGGATGGGATGGGGCAGAGGAGAGCAATTAAGATGGAAAAAAACCTTAATGGGTCAAGATAACGGCAGTTTAATAAAGCAAAAGCAAAGGTCACATGTGTAAGCAAAGGAAAACAAAAGACTTCTTCTCAGCAGGAGTTGTCCAGCCAATTCCAGGGAAGTAGGTCTTCACTAGCAGTTGCTCCAGAAAACAAACATCCCAGTAACAAATGTCCTTTCTCTTAGTTTTTATCACTGAGCAGACATCATATGGTCTGGAATACCCTTTTGGCCAGTTGGGAGCAGCTGTCCTGGCTTTGTGCTCTCCCAAGACCTTGCTCCTCCCCAGCCTATTGGTGAGGAGGGAATGTTGGAGAGACAGCCTTGATGCTGTGGGAACAAAACACTGATGCTGTAGCCAAAACACTGGTGTGTCATCAAACCCCTTCTAGGTGCAAATACCCAGCACAGCACTAGAAGGGCTGCACTGGGGAAAATGAATTCCATCTTAGCCAGACTCAATGCAATGAGGCCAGGCTGAAGCCTTTCAGCTGGTTGGGGCAATTCTCAGTCACTTACTTCCACTGAAGAAGTGGGAAAATAACACCTCTAGTAGCACCTGCTTTCATCAGTCCTGGTTCAAAATTTTTATGAAGGGAGGGGACCTTGACTCACAGCCAGACATGCACACACACCATCAAATTCCTGTTAGAAACCAGGTGGAAAACACAAAAGTCAATGACAGTCCAACATTTTTCTTCAGTCGGCGACTGTTCATAAATATCTCATGGAATGAATTTAGTGGAAAGATCTTTTGTGAACACATGGATTCGTAAAAAATGCTGGTTTTTTTCTACTCATCTCATTTTTTTCTGGAGCAAAACCCGAGCTATGTGACCTCTGTGCAGAATGCCAACTCAATGACACGGCTCTCACTCTGCATGTGGAATATGAAACGCTCACCGTGAACTGCTCAAAAATAATCCTCAGGCCATGATTATTCATAGAAATTATTTGGTGAGTAATTTCAATTAAATAAATTCAAGGAATCAAGAAAAATAGGCTAAACTAATAGAATGCATTATTTATGATGAATAATTCATTTGAAGGAACTTTCTCCCACTGTTGCAGAAAGCCAGCTCAAGGCATAGGGCACTGAAGTCTCACTTAAGCCCTGTTTTGAGGTCTTAATTGGGGGCTTTCATGATGAATCATTCTAGACTGGCCTTCTGCCCAGGACTGAATTTCACCCATTGCTCCTGCTCCTCACATATTGCTGGATATGTCATTAGCGCAGTGGGATTTGTGTTCTTTCAACATGACTGCCATAAAAATAATGATATGGAGAGATTTCATTATGTTTCTTTTACTACTAATAAATAAAGGGAAGAAAGCTCTCACACATCAACTCACCAGACTTTCAACAGTGAATATTCACCATACCCATACATCAACTGCATTATGCAAATATGAGCCAGACGTCCATTGAAGTAAAGCAAGAAGACCCAATAATTTAAACAAGACTCTCTGAATCACTAAAAACACTTGTGTGCACTTGTGCTTGCATTATGGGACATTTCCAGTTAAAAACATTCACAGGATGTAACACATAGATTATGACTCTGAGGAAATCTGAAAAATTGCACTTATAAATGGTAGTGGTAGATATTACTCTAGACATTCAGGCATTTGGAATGCAATAAATGATAAATCCATTGTTGTTTTAAAGAGAGAAAAAAACCCAAACCAAAAATCCAGGCTTTTTTTTTTGTCCTTATGCTCAGAAATGCCAGCACAGAATATCTATCATCAGAAAGATTCATCTCGTTGTTCCTATCAGAGAAAAAGACCTATTGACACGATGAAATAAAGCACTTCCAAAAATATTTAAACCACTCAGTAAAACATAAGTGCAGGCTTTGAAGTTAAACATTTGTTCAGGGATCTGATCCAAATCCCACTGAAATCAGTAGGAGTCCTTCCATTGACACCAAAGGGCTTTGGATCAGACATACTACTTTGCTGAATAGGATGAAGACATCCATAAATATCAACTGTCTTGTAGTACTTTGCTGGGTCCTGTGATAAAAGGTGTGAGTGTGGAAGGGGAATGGAGATTTATTTTTCTATATAAGAAAGAAAAATAATTAGGCTAAATCTAAAATAATGTTCAGTCTTAATTACATAGTCATGAGTCTGTCAGTGTCCCCAAAACACAGGTTACCTGGAGTGCTTTCTGACACACAGCTTCTCTATCATATTTCCTGCTGAAACCAATATTAGTGCTATTATAACACACAAAATTCTCTTCTTTAGACAGTTAGGATTAATGGTACAAAACACCAGAAACTGATAGTTCTACTGCTGTGGTTCGTACCACCAGTGTAGAATCACACTGTGCTGTTACAAAACGGATTATCCCAGATATACTGAAACAAATTATGATAAAGTCTCTTTGCAAAAAATTATGTTGCAGTGAGATAATGGGTCTCAAAACTGCTTCCTAGGAGGAAGCAGAAACTGAGGGAAGAGTTAGAAAGCCTGTTGATTTTAAGTCATAGTTCATTAAATTTTTTTAGTTATACAGTCGGTAATCATGATGTGTCAGTAAACAGTATTCTGAAGTAGGCCAGTTCTCCATATGCTTAAATGGTTGGGAGAAATGAAGCTAAAAAATTCATCTGGAAAACAAAGAAATTTGTTACAGTTGATGGCAAAGGCAATTACTGATTGCCAGCAAAAGGCAACTCAGCAGGCACCACATACTCTGGAGTGTCTCTGTGCCCACAGACTGGCTCATCCACCAGCTCCCCTTCCACACAGACTTCACCACAAACATGTCCCTCCTCTGGCTCTCTCGGGCACACATTGCTCCAGTTTGCTGTTGCTGGGCAGGGGTGAGCAGGGATGGAGCCAGGGCCATGGTGGGCAGAGCCTGCCAGCTCCTCCCTCCCTGTCCTGTGTGCTCACACTCCTTCACTCATCCCCTGCTCACCCCTTGCCCAAAGAAAGTGAAAGCCAGAGACTCCTCTTTCATCCTGTCCTTTACAGCACACTTCCCAGTGCTGCTGGATGAGATAAAACCTTGGATTACAAGTAACAATTATTTTGCATACTGCTCACTGCTAAATCTGGAAACCGTTTATTACCTTAACAATTACTTTTAAGTGAGGCTTAAAAATATCCCACTTTACAGTACAGGAAAGATCCCAGAAATGTACATAGTTATGGGGGGAGAACGTCTCCAGCTCCAAATAGGCACATATACACAGAGGCATACAGAGAAAGCAAGAACACAGGCTACTTTTTGAAGAGCAGTGATGATTGTCTCAGAACCCTAAAACCTGACAGAGAGGAGGCACCTCACATGCAGTTCCTACAGAAGAAGGAACACATTAGATCACTATATACCTAAATTTACAAATTCCCATTATTTTACAACATCAGTCATGATGTTTTGTTCACAGAAATAAACATTGGCATCTATTTATGCTATATGAATAAACTCTTCTTTACTTGTTTAGCAGTATCCAGGCTATGTTAATAGTTTCTAATGATCAATAAAATTAAATCCTTCCCTCCATCAAATTCACAAAGTTTTTTGCTTCCTTTCTTGTTGTCTTCTTTTCTTAATTCCCTGAGACTTTGTGGATATATTTGTTCCTTCTTCATTTATATACAGAGAAACAAAACCAGATAAACTGAAAGATAAAGATGTATAAGTGTTTAGCATCCACCCGCAAACACAATGTGGAGAAAGAAAATTATCCCCACACTTCCAGACTTTTTCTGTTTCTTGATATTTACTCTCCCAGAAGGACAACAGCATGATGTGCACTAGGCAGGAAGGGTAATGATCTGTGCCAAATTTTATGTGCTTGTGCTTCGTGCCATGGTCTGGTTTTTTCTTTCCCTTGCCAGCAGATCAATAAAGTTGTGACTTCAGGACCATGCAAGAGCCAAGAGCTGCTCGGTGTCTGTAGCAGCACAGGACTAACAGACTACTTGAAGTGGGATAAGGCTGGTATCAGGCAAGTATTCAGTTCATACTTGCTCTGCAGCAGTCTGGAAGTGTCCCATGGGAATCAGGTATGGGATAATTAAGGGCTCTTAAGCCAGCAGACAAGGATATTACAAGGATAAACATTTCAAACTGAAGGTAGATAGATGCAGAGTTGTAGAGGAAGCACAATTTTTTACACTGGGAGATGAAACCTATTGGAACAATTTACCAAACATTATGGCAGATTTTCACCATAGGCAATTGCTAAAATATGCAGGGATATGTTATTGGGTTTCAGTTTTTTTGTTTTTCTCTTCCTTCTTCCTGTGAGTATGATCTAGTTTAATTTCAATTTAGCTGATGGCCTGGGTTATGCAAGACCCCAAAGCCACGATGGTTCTATTAAGCCTCAAAATCTGTGAGTCTGTACTCAGTCTTCATAACTGCATAGAATGAGGGAATGCAGCAAAGTGTTTGGTAAAAAGGAAAGCTTCACAATGCTTATAAATCAGGCATAACAGAGTTTCCCCAAACCCTCATGGGCTGCTGTATTAACCTGCCTCCTGGTCTTCCGTTCCTGGAAGCTCCCAGACATTCACAGCCTGAAAACATTCCTGCATTCAACATGCAAAATAAAAAGGCAGTAAAACAGGTGGAGGAACAAAGCTGTTCCTTTATACTCTGTTTTTAATTGAAGGGATTATAAAACACTTCAGGCATGCTGAGAAATCATGACTTTGTTCCTAAATAAAAAGCTGTAGCTATTATTTTTTTTAAACCCTTGTTCCTCCTCCTACAACAGTGGTTATTATATGCATGCATTTGCAGTGTAATAGAATCAGTATCATCTCTGTGTCTTATTACTGTTGCAATCCCCTAACATGCTGTTCCTTCCATCCCACATGAATCTGGTAATTACTGCTGAGCCATGCCATGCGTACACTTTCCCTTCCAAGGCAGCATCAGCAGTTACCACAAACACAATTCCTACGTACTAGTAAACACCAGCAAGTGGGACAGTACATGTTGCCTCATAAGCCAATTCCAGGGCATGATCCTTGCTCTCCAGAAAGCTGCAC